AAAAGTAAGCATTAAATCATATAAAACATGCTAGTTCATAGCTCCATAGACTAATTTTCAATAAGTTTTGACATAAACCAAGTAGGATTTAACACCATAATGCATTGAACATCTAAGGCATTATACCCAGATTGACCTTAGATCCCTTTATGCATTCATATCATACATGAAAATTTGTTTTATGTAAAAATATTGACTAAGTATGAAAAATGGTTTTTCGGAATAATCATTTTCTCAAGATAATTTTTGGCGGCTTTTATTCCTCACACATCAAATAAGAAAACTTAATTTTATGAGATTTTAGTATGAAATATATTGACTTAATGAGCCATCATTTTTAACCTAAATCGTAATTTGCACTAAAACCGATTTTTCATATTTTGATAATTTAGTTAATCAGTTTTGTTGTGTGATAAATGATAATGCAGTTGGAATATCGAAGGTTGACCTTTATAAAATATTGGCATGCATCATGCGAATCACATCTATATTAGCTGACAATAATAGAAGCCAATTACGGCTACGGCAAAGCATACAGTCTCTTCAGAAAATGAATATAATTTAGGGATGATGGGGAATTACAAAAATTTTACGTAATCTACCAACTGCTTCTCTGAATCTTTAGGAATATGCTTCTTGAAAATTCTTTTGACGACTCTGCAAGCTTTAAAATAAAGAAAAAATATTGCATTTCTGCTTTAATTACGGAAGAATATTTTGCTTCTAAATTCTTTGTTTCTTTTTTCTTTCTAGATAAATAAAATTACACAAAACCATAACACACCCAGTAACAGCTGCCAAGAAGCATTATACTGTTATACAAGTACTGGCTCTGCCCTTTAATTTCATTATCCTTTATCAATAAAAGTGGGAAACTGAGAATAAGAACATGTTTGGGATTGTTTATGGAGAAAACACTTTTGCTCGTAAGTGCTTTTGTCAAAAACAATTTTATTATAAGCACATCAAAAAATTTATTAAACGATCGGCTTCTTCACAAAGCACTTTTATGACCTATAAGTAATTTTCAGTTTACCACAAAATGATGTTAGAAGCGTTTTTGTTTATGAGAAAGTGCTTTTGTAACAAACAGAGTCTATTGGTGAGTCTAGTTCTTTTGTAAACTAGCAGATACTAGGGTCTAGAATTTTTGTTTTTTGGTTTATTCAAAGTTATGCAAAAAAGAATTACATTTTCTCTTTCCGGTATGGAGGAGGGAGATTGAGGAATCAAACTCATAACCTCCTGTGTAAAAATAAATATTCATAACCAGTTGACTTAAAAACCTTTCCATGCAAAAGAATTTGTTTACACAACCAAAGCAATAAAGAAATCGTATACATTGAGCTGCAATTAATTTCACTATTATGGATATGAAAGTGATCTCTTGTCATGCCAGCCTTGAGCAAGAGAACGAAGGTTGTGATTAGGGACTAGAATCTTGTGGTCAAGTTTCAATTTTGTCATTGGAGACGTATCACGCCCTATTCGCAACCATTCTGCAATGGCTTCTCGCTCATATGAAAATCCATCTGCTGCTACTTGTGGATCCTTCATCACTTCCTGCCCCCAAAAAATAAAAACAACCCATGATTATGTTAATCTTTTGCACAAACAAAGAAAAACCCCAATAAATAAATAAATAAAAGTGCAAAAACAAAAATTTAGACAAGCAAATATTGGGAGGGGGGAAATCGAACCTAGAATCTCGATGTAAAAATAAATGTTTTTTTACTATTTGAGCTACAAATCCGTTGCAAAGTCGAAGATTTCTTAAATGGTTATTTATTCATCTTACCTGAAATATGGGGCAGAGGAAAACACGTGGGACATCAATGGAGACGTCTCCATCTACACAACCATATCCTCCTGTTGCTATTAGAGCATCACCCTTTTTTCTGATTTCTTCAAGCTCTTCCATTATTGTCACCATTTTTAATCCCTTATTGGGTCCATTGTTTATGGACAAACACCTTAACACCAAGCCCACAAGTCCCTCTGCCAAATCCAATGGCCATGGGCCAGCCTTGTCGTCTAAAACCCGGACCAGGCCTGCCTTGTCCATGAGCATATCCTCGTCAATCCAATTGCCTCCAGTTAGAAGATTGAGAGTCAAAACCCCAAAAGCCCGTATATCCCATCCAACTTGGCTTTCGTCGTAGTTGTATTGGTTGGGCCCAAGCCCACTGACTTTGGCAACAAGGTTGCGGTCGAGGAGGATGTTGGATGGGCTGAGGTGACCGTGAACAATGGGTTTGGGCAGAGCCATATGGAGGTAGCACACCGCCGAGCAAACCTCGGCCGCAATGCGGACGCGGTCGTGCCACCAGAGGGCCCTGGCCCGATTGCCTTTTCCCTTGGTGGAAAATAAGATATCCCGCAAGCTGCCGTTGTGCATGTACTCAAAGACAATGCAGCTTGGCTGGGAGCAGTAGCCCATCATGGCAAGGAGATGAGGATGTCTAATGTTGCTGATGAGCTTCACCTACACATACGTAGAACTTTTTGTTAGATTGAAAATTATGCCATTCTTCTTAAACCTATTCAATAATTAATGAAGCACAGGGCAAACTTGGTTATGGACAAACAATTTATATAGCTTCTTTTAAAATCGCTTTAAAATCTTGTCGGATTGTTTTGTTAGATTCTAAGTCTAGAAAATTAATCATGTTATTTCTTAATGTGCGATCTAAAGTCAGACAACAGAACATTTATCAGATAACATTAGTTTAGCAAGAGAATATTTTCCAAATAATTGAGAAAACAAATAGGTACACAGTTAGCATTTTTTATTGTTTACCTTAGCTTGAAAATCTTCTTGGGACAGTCCATTAGCCTGGTTAAGAACTTTGACAGCAACTGTGACATGGTTGATACGCCCTTTATAAACACTGCTCAAATCACTTCCCGATTTCAATCTAAAAAGCTCTGAAAAATCATCAGTGGCCAGTTTGATCTCCTCGTCTGTGTACTCCCTAAGACAGCAGCTCAATTCACTCAACCTTGCTGCCATTCCAATTCCATCTTTTTCTCTACAGAACTCAATCCTCCGTCGAAAAACATCTCTTCCGCACCGCAGTACTTCAATCTCTCTCACCATTTCTGCACGTTTAACCACTTCATTCTGTAGCTGGGCCTCCGCTTGTGATTTTGCCATTTTGGAAAGATGGAGCTTGTGTGAAAGCTCAGATTGAAGCTCTATGACTGACTTTATCCTGTTCTTGCTTTCTTCAATGTCGTTTATTACTTCATTGAGTTGTTCTTTTTCTGTGTTTAATTTTTTGTTCAACTCTGTTCGATTTCCAGCCTCTTCTTTAATTTGAACCTCTAACTCTTGAGCCTACAAAACCCCAATGGTTAAAATAGAAATCAAGGAATAAGTTAACAAAACCGAGCTTTTTACAGTTTGACGTGTTATGTTGTTAGATTTTGAATCATGACAGCTGAATTATGTCCAAATATGCTGTCATAAAACACATCTTACAACATAACTAATCAAATAATCATCTTAAAAAAGTATTCCTCGTTGTATACATTACCCGGCGCTCGCATAAACAAATGGCTCGTTCTGCGTTTGCATGCCTTTCGACATTTGCCTTGGTTTCTTTTTTCTTCAGTCGTATTCTCTCATGAGTTTCACTTATTTTTTTTCTAAGAGACTCGATTCTTTCTGCAAGGCTCTGAAAGTGTACCAAAATTTTGTCATTCATCAGTTAGAAAGGCATTTAAATCTTTTTCTTGTTTCTCTATAGAAATTTGAAACTCATCTTTGTCTTACCATATTAGGGTTGGCATTCATTTCCAGCATTATGGCCTCTGTTGGACTAGGCTGCTGAGAAGTACCAGTTTCCTGCTCATAATCTTCTTCTCCATCCAAATTTGAACACAACTTTTGGTAGTAAATTTCAATTTCCTGAACACAATTTTCCCAGTGGTTTTGCATGCTGGATGAGTCCTTTCTTGTTGATGAAGCAAATGGGCTGCGACGATTTTCCAGGAACATCTTTTCTATAAAAAATTTGAAGCTGACCTTGTCTTTCAGCTTTGCAACCATCACTCCTTTATCATCCTCCATGATTCTCTGATAATTTGCTCCTCTCAGAAAAACCTCTTTCCCCCCACATATTATGAATAAGTCACAAGACTCAACCTTGTGCTCATGGATGTAAAATGATACACCGATTGCTGTCTTTGCTTTCCTATACTTGGGAAAGAAGCAAAATGAATATTGAAATTAAATCACAAAGATGCATCTAAGTAACAATTTTAAACCACATATTATGACTAAATTAAAAAGATTGAGAATTCAGCTGTTGCATACCATGATGATGATTTGATGAAAGCAAATCCAATGACCAATTTCGTTATATGAAGCCCCGAAATCAAATCCAGGATGAGCTTATGAATAGGTTCATCATATTTCTCCACATTAAGTATCTCAGCTTTTACCTATGAACAAAATGAAAATTAATCAAATTAAAAATTAAAAAAAACGAAGAAACACCAGAAAGATCCGTATACATGTTGGTCCTATTTCTCCTCGTTATACCACACACCTTGCCACAGAAAGCTATATACTTGGAAAGGATTTTGTCAATCTTTTCTTGCTCATACTTCCTTAGAATTTTCAACTTCGCATCGCTTACACAACTTGCAGGGAGCTTCCCAACTGCAAAAATTTTAAAATTAATTATAAATAATTTTTTTTTTTTAAACAAGAACAAAAAACAAGTAAAACGCAAGGTGAATTTGAGTTACAAAAAACATGGAAATTGAAATTCAATTCTGTAACTTACATGGGGTGTAAACATAATCCTTTCCTGAAAGTGTGTAGGTTACATGGAGAATGACAATGGAAATGGGCTGAGATTTCCACCTCCTCAATGTCCACTCCAAGGTCTTATATCCATCTTGCAGCTCATCCCCAAGTGCAACATAAACCTTCTCTTCTTGAGCTTCCATTTTCAATTGGCTTATTGAAACACAGCTTAATTCACCTGCTGCAAAGCCAAACAGCAATAATTAAAATCTCACTTGAATTCTTGTTCAAACTTTGTGAGATGTGATTTCAAAGAGAGACTTGGGTAAGTTAGATCATATTTGATACTGACTATTCTTGGTATGCTTCTAATTTCTCTGTCAATAGGACGGCCTCGTCTTGAAATTTTTTCTACGGTAAGCTTGGCAAGGTTTGGTCCTCCATTTTCAATGATACGATTTTTCGGGAATCTTTCTTGGTATCTTTCTGGAAATCTACGTAGGTAGGCCCTCCTAAGCTGAGTTTAATATGGATGTCATAGAAGGAGACAAAAGCCCATGTGACTGGAAAGCTATTTTTAGGACTTGACTGTGAGACTTCCGTGACTCTGACGGATTAAAATGAGGTTTTGGGGCATAATTTGGAGAAGAAACTTATCGCATTCATCGTGATGTTACTGTGGCAGTATTTTAAATCAATTACATATTGTTATGTGTTATAATTTTCCTGTATAATAATGCATGATTAGCTTAAGATAGTGCTACAATGACATCGTTATATTGCATTAAAAACTCTTCTTCATAATCCGATTATTACACGTAGCAGGCCAGTTGAGGACAATTGTGTGTTGCCAGAGACTGATGATTGCGTGTCAGCTTAAGCAATCCGATTATTATACGTAGTAGATTACCGCGTTGTCTGTCTTTGAAAAGAACTTTTAACAAAGACTTCTTATCTACTGCTAAGTATTATTTTTATTTCTAACAATATGTCTCAGTCTGAATTAATGACTCGTCTTTCGTTTCGATCAAAAACAAAATAAAAAACACCTCGTCTTCAAAAGATAATATTTTGTTGTAACATACTAACATAGTACGACACGGGAATACATATGGTGTGCTTGCATATGAAATACAACTTGAATGGCCCGACACGGGAAGTTTTAGTGATGATGTGCTCAAATACATGAAATGGTTGGGAGATACCATCCATATCTTGTCATACGTTGGTGTTTCTGCGTCGCTCAACCAAATGTTACTAGTTTTCTTTTGTTCTTTTTGTTTTCTTTCTTAAGAAATTGTAGAATGTTTATGACCATGTTGTCACAATAAAATAGCACAATCATAACCAAGGGTGGCCCTGAGGGTGTGCAAGTGGTGCCACCGCACAGGGCCCTTGATTTTTCAGGGCCCCGGAATTTTTTTATGTGTATAATATATGTATATATTAATAAATGTTTATATATATACTTAGCGAGCAAATTTTTGACACAAAGACATTTCTAGTTGTATTAGTTTGCAGGGCCTCAACTTCCATTTAGGACGTGACTTCAAAATCCGCTTGTGTAGATCAATCATAATTTTAGTTCTTTTTTTTTTGATTTTTTTGGTAACAACAATTAATAATCATAATAATTAAAAAGGCAAACACGTTATTTTCTGTAAGTAATAATCACCACCAATATCTCTCATTGGCTCTCTTTTTTAATCCTTTGACAATTTTTTTTATAAAAATTATAGTTGAAAATTTATTACGTACAGGACCAATAAAATTTCTTTAAAGAACAGAGTCATATGCAAATGTGACCTAGCTAGCAGCAAAACCACCATAATGACAATTAGGGTCAAATTAAAATTTTGGTTTGTTTTTTTGAAACTTATTGTTTTCGTTGAAAGATAAAACCTGCTATGCTGTCTCTCAATCACATTATGTTGCAACCACTGTTTAAAGCAGCTTGTCCAATGTCAACACCAACATTCAATATCCCAGCTACTTTCACAACCATATACTGAAATAATAAATACCCGATCACAAGGAATTAGTAAGTAATTATGTAAGCAAAGGTTATGCTCCTTATTCTTTAGTTAAAATTTAGCTAAAAACACACAAAAGTTATTTAGAAACTCTATAAAATTTGAACTCCAATCATACTCCCTAAATTAGGAAGTCATAAATACTATAGTTATTTTTTAATTCAATATGATTGGTTATCATCTCTATAAAAATTAAAAAAAATAGTTTGTATTAATTAAAAGTTTAAACTATGCATAAAATGAAACATCATTAAATTATAAGGAGCTACTAGGAGTTCTTTCTCTCTCCTTAGATTTAGGAGTTCTTAGAGGTCTCTCTATTTTAGGAGGTGAATAGGGAGCATGGTTGGAGTTGTATTTTTCCAATTCCTCCCTAAAATTTGTCTAAGAAGGTGGTTTAGGGACCCCATTGTGGATGCTTTAAGTGTGAGTAATTATAGTGTACGTAGTATGAGAGTATGTCACATGGTATAACTCATTTGTTAGAATATATAAGTGGATATTTATTGATATTATATCATAAAAGTGGGAAATATTAACCATATCGCCCATCCATATTATACACGTGGTCGAGTTACAGCAGCCTTGCTACGTAGTAAAGTGTACGTACATGTGGGTTTTTGGCAAGTCATTAGACACAAACAAGTTTAAACACTTAAATCAATCTCAACCACATGATTTCATTGAAATAGATCTAACGACTAAGCACCTCATTCCTCAAATGATGACACTGAATCTCTTATATATATATTCTTCAGCAAGAATATTCTAATTGCCCCAATAATATCTATATTCCTATGTGCAGACATTGCCTGTCACGTGCGTATGTCCCCATCGTTATATATATTCTTCAGCAAGAATATTCTAATTGCCCCAATAATATCTATATTCCTATGTGCAGACATTGCTTGTCACGTGCGTATGTCCCCATCATTGATTGACGTTAGCTCTTCAATTACTCATGTAGATTTTTATTTTCAAGTCCCCATAGAGATAAGACTTCCATATATAGGGCTCACCTCAATTAAAAATGTGGTTAGTAAAGTGGTACACGAATATTTTTATTTATTTTTTATATATGCTCAGATATATATTTAATTTTGCAAAAATAATGCATCCAACTAACTCAACCAAAAAAGTTGCATCCAATTAATGATGTTGTTGGAATATTGATACAAAATAAATTAGGTGTTAAAAAGATATTTAATTTTGCAAAAATAATGCATCCAACTAACTCAACCAAAAAAGTTGCATCCAATTAATGATGTTGCTAGAATATTGATACAAAATAAAATAGGTGTTAAAAAGATATTTAATTTTGCAAAAATAATGCATCCAACTAACTCAACCAAAAAAGTTGCATCCAATTAATGATATTGTTGGAATATTGATACAAAATAAATTAGGTGTTAAAAAATATTTAATATCTGAATATGATCTATTACGACAAAGACTCATCGTCACAATCATGATGATTATTCAAAAGGTGTAACATCCCTGATCCAATTTAATCGATTTAATCAAATTTAATTCTTTTGTGAAATTTCAATTTTGCCCTTGGAAGTAGGGGTACTTTGGTCACTTTAAGAAAAAAAAAAATATTTATTGTATAACATTACGTAATGGTGTAAGTTTATGTTAGTTTATGTGAGGCCCCAGTTTAAGGTTCGCACAGGGCCTTCAAAATCTCAAGACCGGCCCTGCTCATAACAAAAGCTATATCAACACGACAAAACTATTAATAATTAAATATCAAATTCATCACATATATTGTCCTAGTATTTTTCTTTTTTTTTGTCGAAAATTGATATTTAATAAAACAGGAACCTCACCTAAAACGGGGAGAGCATAGAATCACAAAATAAGCAACCTAGTAAGGAAGCACAAAAGAACAACTAATCTGTGATATCACATGAACAAGAACACCAAGATTGTCCCAGATGGTGATACCAACAGATAAACAAACAATAAAAATTACAACACAAATTGAAATAAAACAGCAAAATGCCCAATTGAACAACAAACAACAGATAAACTTGTCAGCCACAGATCCACCACCATAACCAAATCCACTCAAATCCATCAAAAGCCGAGAGAACCGGAACCATGAAATAGGAAGGAGGTGGTGTAAGCACCCAAGACGTAGCACTGCCGTGGCTCTACACAACTTCCAAGATTTACGGGAGATATCGCTTTTCGGATTAGCCACAATATGTCACACCCCAATTTATTCACTTAATTATTGAGAGTGTGAGGTAAAAGAAAAACTAAAATTTAAAATTTAAATAGCAAGAAACATGAGAATTAAACATAAAACTTTTGTTTAAACCAAAGTAATTTACATTGTAATTTTACAAGCAAGATTTCAGGAAAATACAGACTCTTAATAAAACATACAAACTATCTGCAACTTATTCTTCTTGTTTCCTTGTCACAACTAAACTTCAGATTCAAAACCTGCAATAAATT